TAGAGGGGATCTGGGAAACAACAGAGCTTGGAGAGAGTGCAGCAAACAAGCCATCCTCCTCTTGTGTTAGAATAAATCAGCTTCCTAGCTTTTTCATTGAGCCCTGCCCTAATAGTGGAATTGGACAAACAGGTAGGTCTAGGAAAGTATGGGAAAACACCTGAGTCCCATATTGGCAAGCTAAAGGAAGAGTCTGATAACAAAACTTAGAGTCGCCCTCTATTCCGACAATTTTTTGATGGGACTCCCGAGTTGGGCCAGAGTGAGAAACAAGTGCAGAGTAAGTGGCTCCCGTGTCAATAAGAAAGTTGATCTGCTTCCCCTCCACATCCAGAGTCACCTGGGGCTCAGTCTGTTCGATGGTGACGGGAGCCGGACTGGCCTCTGGGCCCCTTCAGGTGGAGTCCTCAGGGTCGCACCCCCGGGCAGGGAAGTGTGTTCTTGGCCCCTCCTCACTCTGGAGGCAAGGACAATGGTGCTTCCAATGTCCCTCTCGCTTGCAGAGAGGACAAGGCCCAGGAGGAAGCTCCTTTCTGGGGCACTGTTTGCTCCAGGGTCCAAGGTGATGGCAACGGTAGCAAGGGGACTCACCTGGGCCTCTGGCATCGGTAGTTTGAGACTTGGGCCCCTGGTTAGCCTGTGTCTGTGGCATTTCTGCAATGGCAGCTGCTGAAATGTGAGCCTGTGCCTTACCCTGTAACTTTGCCCTTCTGTCCTTACGCTGTTGTTTTTCTTTTTTCTTTTTGAGGAAGATTAGCCCTGAGCTAACGTCTGCTGCCAGTCCTCCTCTTTTTTTTTTTTTTTTTTTTGCTGAGGAAGACTGGCCCTGAGCTCACATCCATGCCCATCTTCCTCTACTTTTTATGTGGGTCGCCTACCACAGCATGGCTTTCCAAGTGGTGCCATGTCCACACCGGGATCCAAACCGGCGAACCCTGGGCCGCCGAAGTGGAACATGTGAACTTAACCGCTGCACCACCGGGCTGGCCCCTGTCCTTACCCTGTTTAAGAGTCAAGTCCCGATCATTAAACACCTGAGTAGCAACCCCCAAAGGTCTCTGTGCAGGTGTTTGAGGACCCAAGGCCCATTTAGTCTCTTTTCTGCATGTGTCTGGGGCTGACTGACTAATGAAGTGATGTTTAGCACAGCCGTCCCTTCCAGAGAAGGAGGGTCTACATTAGTGTCTGTTCGAATGGCTTCAGCTAATCTCCCTTGAAAAGGGGCAGGGTGTTCCTCTGTTCCCTGAGTTATTTCCTGGAGTTTGTCAAAATTCACTGGCTTTGTAAATCCCTTCTTCACCCCCTCTATTAATCACGAGACACAGGCAACAAGCCGCTCTGAGTCCAGGATCTTGATTTAGGGACATGGATGCTTGAATTTAAGGGATTTCAGACCATTTCCCCAGGCAACGGCAAAATAAGTCTAGTTGAAAAGTAGTATTAAAATTTAGGGTGCCGTTCATGGGCCATTTTTCCTCACTCAGAGTATATTGAGGCCAAACAGTATTACAGTAAAAGATGTCTCCTTTTCTTTAGATCTTGTAGATCAAATTTGCCCAGTTATTTAAAAGGCAACCCCAAGGTGAGTCCTTAAGAACAGAATGAGAAGCTTCTATGGTCCTAGGAAGCAAAAAGATGAAGAGAGATGAAAGAAAAGGGTCCATTACCTTGAAAATCCCCCCTGAACCTAGGGCAGCGTCCTACCCATTGTTCTGCCTCTGAGGTTCCTATAGCAAGGGGCGATTGGGATGTCCCCCGGCATTGCACCCCTTGTGTATCTTCCCTATTATGCCTGGGATAGTCCTGTTAGGCATCTATTTCCATAATAGGGAGGATTCATTCCTATTGGATATTTGCTCGGGCAAATCATTTTCCTCCACAGTCAGCTTATCTAGAGTTTCCAAAAATTCTTCAGCTGCCTTCACACCAGCACTCACAGACTCGCTGCTCGCTTCCACCTGATGTAAGGAATAATGATTCTTGAATTGTTTCAGCCACTCAGAGCTAGCAGTAAATTCAGCATCATGGGCAGGTCCAGCCTTTTCTTTCAACACAGCAAACATTTTGCTTTGGCTGTTATCATCGCAGTGCTGAGAGGGCCATCCTTCCGTGTCTGGTCTTCAATCTAGGTCATTAGAAGTTTCTCCGTGTCACACGTAGGTCCTTGAATTTTCGTTAGCCTCTTGGCCTTCAAAGCAGCAGATCCTTTAACAGCTTCTCTCAGTTTGCTCTTCAGGATCGTAGCTTTGACGGAATGGGACATACCTGACTGCCGAGCAATAACTAGCACTGATTTTCCACCTTCATTGTCCTTAATCACTTTGAATTGCATTTCCAGGTCAGACACTTGATGTGGCCTCTTACTGGCAATATTTGTGGTGGATTTTGTACGCTTAGGGGCCAAGGTGAACAAAACAACATGAGATTAAGTCAGGCACAAGAGAAAACAATGCAATCAAGAGATGTGGCAAAATCGAGATGTACGAGTCTGCTGCCAGCATAACACAGCATACTGTTTTCCCTTTAACTTTTTTTTAAGTAGAAAGGGCATACTTTTAAGATAATAAGTATAGTATAGTAAATATATAAACCGGTAACATAGCCATTTATTACCATTATCAAGTATGATGTACTGTACATAGTTGTATGTGCCATACTTTCATCAGAGTGGCAGTGCAGTGGATTTGTTGATGCCAGCATCACCACAAACACGAGTGAGGTGTTCTGCTGCGACATCACTAAGTGATAGGAATTTTTCAGCTCCATTACGCTCTTATGGAACCCCTGTCCTATATGTGGTCCATAATTGACGGACATGTCATTACGTGGTGCTGACTGTAGCACTAAATTCGATTTGCTAGTATTTTGCTGAGGATTTACGCAGCACATTTCGGAATGTTTGTAGCTTTTTCTTGTGGTCGAGTCTTTGCCTGGCTCAGAATGAATTAAGAAGTGTTCCTTGCTCTTCAATTTTTTGGGGGAAAGTTCGAGAAGCCTTCATACTAGTTCTTCTTTGAATGTTTGGTAGAATTCACCAGTGAAGCCATCAGGTCTTGGGCTTTTCTTTGTAGTGAGGTTTTTTTTTATTACTGACCCCATCTCCTTACTTGTTATAGGACTATTCGGATTGTCTATTTTTTTTGGTTTGCTTATAGGAATTTGTCTGTTTCACCTCAGTTATCTGATTTGTTAACACACGATTGTTCATAGTAATCTCCTTGTCCTTTTTATTTCTGTAGAATCAGTAGCAGTGTTCCCACTTTCATTTCTGATTTTAGCAATTTGGGTCTTTTTTCTTAGTCCATCTAGCTAAAGGTTTGTCAATTTTGATCTTTTCAAAGAACCAACTCTTGGTTTTATTGACTTCCTCTATTGTCTTTCTATTCTCTCTTTTGCACATCTCTGCTCTCATCTTTATTATAATTTCCTTGTGCTACTTTTGGGTTTAACTTGTTCTTTTTCTAATTCCAGTGTGATCCAGGTTCAGTATGTCAGCTTGCACTCATAATAGTTTGGAAAGGCAGGAGGCAGAGATTTCCTTCAGGAAGAGGGAAAAGTTTGCAGAAAGGATTCTGAACTATAAAATTAACGATAGCCTCTGCCTTCTGCCCTGGTCATCTCCCAAATGTCAGACTTGTAGTGTGCCATTTAGCAATCATAACATTACATTTTCAAAAGTCATCCCCTAGGGGGCTGGCAGTGGCACACCGGTTAAGTGTACACAGTTTGCTTCTCGGTGGCCCCGGGTTCGCCGGTTAGGATCCTGGGTGTGGACATGGCGCTGCTTGTCAAGCCATGCTGTGGTAGGCGTCCCACATATAAAGCAGAGGAAGATGGGCACGGATGTCAGCTGAGCCAAGCTTCCCCAGCAAAAAGAGGAGGATTGGCAGTAGTTAGCTCAGGGCTGATCTTCCTCAAGAAAAAAAAAAAAAGAAAAAGAAAACTCATCCCCTATTGTCATCCAGACCTTTCTTTTGGAAGATGTACAGATGAGGAATGAAAGTATTTCCACAGAAGAACATTTCAATATGAGTTACTCAGAACAATTCATCTTTAGGAATTGTTCAAGATGAAATCCTAAGTTTTCAAAAATTTCCAAAATGCTTTTCATAACCTCCCACCCCATTGGTCCTGATCATTTACACACAGGCATACCTCAGAGATATTGCAGATCTGGTTTCAGACCACTGCAACAAAGCAAATATTGTGATAAAGTGAGTTACATGAGTTTTTTTGTTTCCCGGTGCATACAAAAGTTATGTTTGCACTACAGTGTAGTCTAATAAGCGTGCAATAGCATTATCTCTAAAGAAAACAATGTACATATTTTAGTTTTTAAAAACTTGACTGTTGGGGCTGGCCTGGTGGCGTAGAGGTTAAGTTCATGCACTAAGGTTCAGCAGCCCGGGGTTCACAGGTTCAGATCCCAGGTACAGACCTAGCACTGCTCAAGCCACACTGTGGCAGCGTCCCACATGAAACAGAGGAAGATTGGCACAGATGTTAGCTCAGGGCCCATCTTCCTCACACATACAAAAAAACTTTTCTTGCTAAAAATACGCTAACCATCATCTAAGCCTTTAGCGAGTTGTAACCTTTTTGCTGGTGGAGGGTCTTGTGTAAAACACATTATCTGCAAAGCACAGTGAAGTACAATAAAGCGAGGTAGGCCGATAGTGAGGGGCCCAGAAAAGACCAATGTGTTTCTGGGGAGAACCGCCTTCGTCAGCTGTGTGTCAGGGGAAAGGCGAGGGAAACAGCGTCGTTGTCCTGATACTTTACTCACAAACTTTAACTGATTGTTCTGTCGGCCCCAGCCTGTTGCAGGGATCCTGTCAGCTGCAAACGTCCCAGCCAGTCGCCTGCAGCTGTACTCCTTGCAGTAAGCCCCCCGGCTATTTCCCCGGCTGGACCCAACGTTGTGGCTCGGCTGGCTCCTATAGTTCTTACCATGATTGTAAGACACACCTCAGAAAAAAAAAAAAACACCCAGCAAGGAATTTAGAAGAAAAAAATGTATTGCTCACAAATCCTGGAGAGCACACAGCATGCCTGAGGGCGGCATGGCGAGGTCAGGGGGAGAGAGAGAACAGAATTGGGCTCTGCCTTTATTCGGGAGGAGGGTGGGGGGCCGAGGCTTTCAGAGGTTCACTCTTTATTGGTGAATTTAAAATGTAAAGGTGGGGATTCGGGCGAGGAAAGGAAAAAGCGCGGTCCCTCAAGCAGTCAGTTCTCCAGGGCACCCAGGGCTTTGGGAAGGGGAACTTCGTGGGTGGGAGGCAGCCTGGTTCCTTATCTAGTTGCTCTGGCAGCAGCTGTGTGAGAGCGCTGGCAATGTTGATTCAAGATGTGTCTTTGAGATGGAGGCCTCGGCATTCAGAAGCTTACTGTAAGGCACTTACACTCCAGTGAACAAAGCTTATCATCTGACCCTTAAATTGCAATGTTATATAAAAGTTAAACTTGAGGCCAGCCCGGTGATGCAGTGGCTAAGTTCGCATGCTCCACTTCTGTGGCCCGGGGTTCACAGGTTCAGATCCGGGACAGGGACCTACACACCACACATCAGCCATGCTGTGGCAGTGTCCCACACATAAAATAGAGGAAGATCAGCACAGATGTTAGCTCAGGGCCAATCTTCCTCAAAAGAAAAGAAAAATTTAAATACATTGTCATATTAAAAGCACACCTGTAATCACCATGGCCCAATAAACTTCAAAAGGAAAAGGGAAAACATGTATTAACTGAAAAATCAGAAAAAAGTGCTATTCAAACTTATGCACTAGAGCCCAAAGGACTTACAGAAGTATTTCTGACATAAATATGTATTGTGAAAGAACTAGAAATTCACTTAGTAACCCAGTTTTGAAGTGAGGTAGTGACAAGGACAGACCTCATTTGTAACTTCTGTAATACTTCTCTCCTGGTGTGAATTTCCTGGGGCATTACACGGTAACTTGCGTGAGGTGTTTCAACATTCCTTACAGCTATAGGATTCCTCCAGAGAAAGCAGGGCTTTCTAAAAGCTTTTGAATCTCTCACGCATCCATGGAGTTGCTATCCAGTGTGCATTCTCACGTGGTTTCGAAAGGAGGAGGGCCACTTGAATGCTTTCCCACACTGCTCACATTTATGGGGCTTCTCTCCAGTGTGCATTCTCACGTGCTTCTGTAAGGATGACGGCCAACTGAAGGCCTTCCCACAGTGAGGACATTCATACGGTTTTTCTCCAGTGTGAGTCCTCATGTGGCCTTGAAAGGACCTGGAAGAAGTGAAAGCTTTGCCACACTTTTCACATTTATACAGTTTCTCTTCGGTGTGAATTCTCACGTGTTCTCGAAAGGTTGAGGGCCAACTGAAGGCCTTTCCACACTGTTTACATTTGTAAGGCTTCTCTCCGGTGTGAGTTCTCACGTGACCTTGAAAGGACTTGGGGGAACTGAAAGTCTTCCCACAGGTTTCACAGGTGTAGAGTTTCTCTCCAGTGTGCATTCTCATGTGCACTCGGAAGGTCTCAGGCCAACTGAAGGCTTTCCCACATTCCTTGCATTCATAGGGTTTCTCTCCAGTGTGAGTCTTTTCATGTCTTTGAAAAGACTGGGGATAACTGAAGGTTTTCCCACACTGTTTACATTCGTAGGGCTTCTCCCCAGTGTGTGTGATCATGTGCCTTTGAAAGGTGGAGGGATAAATGAAAGCTTTCCCACAGTCCTGACATTGATAAGGCTTCTTTCCAGAGTGGGTTTTCACATGTCGAGTAAGACTGGAAGACGCATTAAAGGCTAGGCTGCATTGCTTGCACTCATAGCTTTTCTCGGCCGTGTGCATCTTCAGATGTTGAGTGAGGGAGTAAGGGTGACGAAAAGACTTCCCACATACTTTACATTCGTAGGGCTTCTCCCCAGTGTGTGTGATCATGTGCCTTTGAAAGACTGAGGGATAAACAAAGACTTTCCCACATTCCTTACATTTATACGGCTTTTCTCCAGTGTGGTTTCGCACATGTCTAGTAAAACTGGAGAACTGACTGAAGGTTTGCCTACATTGCTTGCATTCATAGGTTTTCTCTGAGGTGTGAATCTTCATATGTTGCCGGAGGGAGTAGGAATGGTGAAAGGCTTTCTGACATAATTTACATTCATAGGGCTTCTCCCCAGTGTGTGTTATCACGTGTCTTTGGAAGATGGATGGATAAATGAAGGCTTTCCCACATTCCTTACATTTATATGGCTTCTCCCCAGCATGAGTCCTCATGTGCCTAGTCAGGCTGCAGAACTCACTGAAGGCTTTCCCACATTGCTCACATCTGTAGTTTTTCTCTGTAGCGTGAGCCCTGATGTGTTGAGTGAGGGAGTAGAAATAAGGAAAGGTTTTCCCGCATAATTTACATCCATAAGGCTTCTCCCCGGGGTGAGTTCTTGGGTGTGAGGGACAAAAGCAGCTCTGCCTGCATTGCTGACACCGGTACGGTTTATGTCCACGGCGAGACCGGACGTGCCTCTTCAGGGAAGAGAGATGCAGGAAGCCCTGTCCACACTTGGTGCATTCGTACGGTTTGACTCCAGGAGAAACAGTCTGGTACAGATTAAGGCTGGGCATGTGACTGCAGGCTTCTCTGCGTGGATTTCCTTCATTACGTTCACAGAATCTGTCCACCACACGGTTTCTATTAAGAGTAAGAAGCACTTTATTAACAGTATATTCATTAACAGGTTTTTTTTCCTGATTAATGAGTCTTAAAACGCCATGTGTGACTGCATTTCAGTCGACAGGAAGTTTTTCTACTCCTTTGAATTGTTTGAAAGAACTAACTAAATGCTCTAGCAGAGGGCTCAGGCGTGTTCACTATTCATACACTGTTTATTATATAGAGGTTGCTCCCTAATTGTTTCTAACTGAATTATATTCTAAACACTCAACATCTAATTAAATTAAAAATTTTTCTTTGTTAAAATTCTTGTGAATAAACAAATTTGGAGCTAGGATTATAATTCTCTTTCTTTCTCTCCTTTTTTTGGTGAGGAAGATTTGCCCTGAACTAACATCTGTGCCAGTCTTCCTCTATTTTGTACATGAGTCACTGCCACAGCATGGCTGCCAACAAGTGGTGTGGGTCCACAGCTGGGATCTGAACCAGGGCCGCAAAAGCAGAGTGCGCTGAACTTAACCACTAGGCCACAGGGCCGGCCCCATAATTTTCTTTTTTCAAATTTCATGGCACACTAAGATTCTCTCCTGAGACATCTGCGAGAGCAACTCACCTCAGATCTCTCCCATGGTTTTTGTGCTGAACTTCAATACTATGGTCCTCCCAGTTTTTCTGTTTATTAGGTATTTCTTCCTCATACATATCCTGTTCAGAAACTGGCCCACTGGCTTTAAATGGTGTCTCACAATCTGAAACAAAAAAACGTTAAGTAAATAGATGAAGGGAGAAGGCATTTGTGAGCAAAGAAAGACTTGAGCACTTTGGGGACTTCACCAAGGACAGGCATGAGGGGTCAAAATCTTAGGCAATTCCCTAAAGACCAACCAAGTTTTCAAACAAGAAATCTCTCTGTGAACCCAACGGACCCACAAAGCAAAACCCACACTGACGACACTGAAGGAGCTTCAAGTATTTTAAACGAAAACAAAGATACAAGACGCAGTTTCATACATAGATTTCCATTGTCATAGAAATATTATTATCGTCTAGGTCCACAATGGCTGTGACCATCTCTGTCTTATTTGCCCATGTATTCCTTGTCCACTTTTCAAATCTTGCCACAGCACTGATGAGACACACTTGTTCACTAAGTAAGTGAGATGATGCTGTCGTCCTCACCCACAGAGGCCAGGTTCCTGCAGGTCTCCAGCATCACGTCTCTGTAGAGCTTCCTCTGAGCACCATCCAGCAGAGCCCACTCCTCCGGGGTGAAGTCCACAGCCACGTCCTCAAAGACCACCGTGTCCTAGAACATCAGAATGTGTGCAGGAGGAGGGGTGAGCCTGAGAGCCCTGGGGAGCTGAAGTCAACCCACAGGAGGTTCACGTGGGAGTCTGTGGTCCCCCACATCTGCTCTGACTCTCTCAACCTCACTTCCTAATGGATTTAGTAGCAGCACTAACGCTCGGAACTTAACTCCACACTTGGCTGGGATTATTCACCTTATTCCTTTCTACCAGCAGGGTCAGGAGGGAGATGCTACACGAATGAAATAAATGCTTCAACTGGAGAATGTGCAGCAGGCCTCAGCTGCCCAGATGCCACACCTTCTTCAGGACCAGCCCATGGCCGGCTCCTGGGGGAAAGTCTGTAAGCCCTTGGAATACACCACCTGACAGGAGTGCTGTAGAGCTGGGGCCTTGGGCCATGCCCAAGTTTACGCCAACCATGCGATTTAGAATGCCTGCCTATTTGCTCCACTGGGGGCCCTGGGCCCACTGCATCAGTTCAACTTCTGGAGGAGCTGGACGCGGAGTAGCCAAGGGCACTCAGAGGGGCACCCCATGCCTATGTGGCTAACACTCGATAAAACCCTGGAGTCCCAGGTGTGGGTGAGCTCGATTTCTCACATGTTGCCACACATGGTGCTCTGTCTGTGCAGCTCCACTGAGAGGGGATAATTTGAGTTTGGGCCTGTTTGTCCTGAATTCTGCCCTATGTGTCTTTTTTCTTCATTAATTTTAATATGCATCCTTTCCCTTAATAAACCCCAACACTGTGTACAACCACTTTCCCAAAAAAGTCCTTCTGTGAAATAAATGCTTCTGTGAGCCTTTGGAGTGAATCCCCAACACCCGAGGGTGGTCCTGGAGACACTGACACAGAAGACCATCAACTCCTTGTGGTAAAAAGTAATTCACTAGAGTGGCTGTCAGTGGACTGGAAGTGGCAGAATAAGGAATTAGCAAATTTGAGGACAGTCTGATAGATTACGCAATCTGAAGGACAGGGAGAAGCAAGATTTAAGAACAGAACCTCGGGGAAAGGTGGGCACCATTTGGGGCACGGACACCCGTGTGATGGCAGCACAAGGACAGGAGAGAAAGGAGCAGGACAAACACTTGGAAGAAATAATCGCTGAAATCACCTTAAATTTATTGAAAGACACCAAACCACATGGAGAGAAAGAGAAATTGTCAACAAGGGACCTACATCCAGAAAGCTATTTTTTAAAAATAAAGGTGAAATGAAAACATTCCCAGATAAAGGAAAACTAATTTTTTTGACCAGGAGAAGCACATTATATAAAATACTAAGGACATTCTTTAAACTAACTGCAATTGTCCCCAGACAGTGACTCAAATTCACATGAAAAAACAAAGCACACTAGTAAAGGTAATTATATGAATGCATGTTTTTCTCCTTTATTTTCTTAAATGATTTAAAAAGCAGTTGTGTAAAATATTGTGTTTATAATGTATTTTTGGGTGTATCTCATGTAATATGTCACATATTTGTAATCTATTTTCCAATAACAGCCCAAAGGAGGGGATGGCAGCAGAGCTGGATGTGGAAGGAAAGGGAACGATGAGAGACGGTAAAGTATTGATTGACACACGCAGTGTGGGCCGGGTGACATGGACAAATACGATTTATGTAACACCACCACAGAAAGGGGGCAGAGAGTGACACGGGAGCACCACTTCTGCATGTCACTGGAAGGAAGCGACTGTAAATCTGGAGCTGGTCTGATTAGATGTAGGTGGTGACTCTCATGCAATCAACTTCTTAAAAGCAAAAAATACCAAAAAAATCATTAAGCCAACTGAAATACTTTACTAGAAAATATTCACTTAATGCAACACAAAGTAGCAGAGGAGGAGGGCAGGAACACAGACAGACTGGAGACACACAGACAACAGAAGGGAAACGGCGAGCGAGTATCAGACCCGTCAATACCAACGCGAAATGTGATGGATCACAACTCCCCCAAAGGCAGAGGGTCAGAAGGGAACACAAGCTGTGTTCCCTCCGCAGGAGACATTCTGTCCATGCACCTGCCCTGCCCTCCCGTGTGGCCCCTGGAGTGGGCCCTGTCCCTCCAGGACCTGTGAGCCATTAACTCCACTCATTCAGTTCCCTCCTGCTCTCTTGTTGACCTGGAGCTCCACTTCAATGTTGATTTAACAAAACCACAACAACTGGCATCACAAACAGCATGGACTGAGTTGCACCTGGAGCTGTCCAGGAGCAATGCCAAATGGGAAGCTGACCAACTGCTTCCTCCAGTACAAGCAGGAAATATGCCACGGTGTCGGCTGGAGCGAGGTATGTGATTAGACACAGGCTTCACGTTGGGGTCCCTGGCCCACCATCTTGCCCCATCTATCTGCCACTCTACAACCAGCCACCAGTGAGTGGAGATTAACAAATGCACAGGGTCCACCATTAAGGTTCCCATTCCCAAAATTAGGGAGATGACAGATGACACCCAAGAGTCTCGGGGCCCCTACTCTGCCATCCTAGATCTAGACAACATGTTGCACTCAGTCCCGATAACTGAAGGTTCAACCTCAACTTGCTCTCACTTTTCAGGAAGCCCAGGGTACCTCTCCTCAGCTGCCCATGGTTATCTAAACAGCCTCCTGAAGGCATCATTTCATGATTCAGGGAAAGCCTCACTCGGGTGTCTCCAGCTGGAAAGAGAAGGCCAAGTCACACATGCCGACGGTGGGCACTCATGACTGCACACACACGCCCCCACACACCAGAAGCAGGTAACGAGAACATTACCGACTCCTTACGCAAACCGTGCATCTGCTCCAAGGCCCCAGGTGAGCCACCTCCCAGAGGACCAGACAAGCCCCAGACTCAACTAGCCCTCCAGAGACACCACACCCACCAGCTGAGTGGCCCACTGACATCAGGCCATGGGGGGGGAACAGGACTCACTGAGTGGGGACACAGGTGGACAGTCCCCGTTACCTTGGCTTAGCCAAAGTAGTGGCAGATAATGGCCTCCTTTGCTCCCAAATGAAATTTTGGAAGTCCCGCAAGTGAGGATATGTGCCTTGGGGCGACAGACCTTATTCTAGAAGGGAAATGGATTGAACTGGACCGCTGCCACCCTCTGCTGGAGCGAGGAGGTACGCAAGCACCATCATGGACACCTTCAGTGGACTCCTGTGGGCCGCTCCTCCAGAAACGCTGCTTCCCATCGTGTCCTCTTCTTGACCAGGTGTGTGCTCATCCCCTTTGACCTACCAGACATTTCAATCTTCGCCAGATTCAGATCAAGGTACTCGTTTCACTTCTCAAGTTCAGTCATAAGCGAGGCCTCCAGCATACATACTGATAATTTAACACCTGCCAGCCACTCCTGCTCTTCGTGGGTGCCCATCTGGGAAGGCCACCTCCAAGCTCACCAATGCCTTAGCTAACACTGTCCCAGCCCAGGAGCTCAATGTTGGAGATGACGAGCCCTCAGACACAGATGCCACAGCCCAAGAGAAGTAGGAGGGAGACAACGCTCCCCAACCTCACTGGACACTGGGACTTTCCCCTCCCAGATCGCCTCCACTTCTGAAAGGAAATGACTGGGGTGCCTGACAGCCTCAAGGCCATGTTGCAAACATGTCTCCAGCCGATTGGCCCTGAGAAGTCTACAGAGACTGTGCTGCTGAAACAGCTAACGGCCTGCCTCATGAACCTTGCCTCAATCAAAACGCTTAGGAGGTCCCCTGCCAACCATATGGCACCACTAGATGTCATTTCACCTTGATGGCAAGCCAAATGATGTGGCCGAAACCACACTAGTCACAACAGGGCACTTCTTCACGTCACCCCGCCTTGACCTGCCTAGACCCCACGGTCAGGGACGTCTGTCTTCTGTGTTCCCTGCCCTGTGTACTGGATTACAGCTTTTGCTTTCTCCCCAGTGTATCCACGAGAGACCCTACTCTCTTACTGTTCTCACCACCACTGCTGGCACCTCCTCCACTCCTCTCCACGTCTTACCCATAAGCTCCTCCCCATTGTACACACGATCCTCTCCCACGCCACAACCAAGTGGGCCAGACCCGACACAACAAATACATGCAGACAAAACTCTGAGAGCAGCCCAAACCTTGCAAGTAAAATGATGTTGGATCTGTGTCCACACGGCGCCAGACCGCCAGTCCCACGTCACTACCTATCCTGCCATTCTTCCCGGTGGTCAGCCCCTTGCACTAGTTCCCTCCAAACTACCCTAAGTCTCATTGAGGCTAAACCGAATCCCTAACCAGGACCCCAAACAGGGCACCTGTGGATAAGCATCCAAATAATGAACCTCAAATGGTGGTACCTTCTCAAGGCTGCCAAGTATACTCCAACACAAAGGCCAGCCCTCACCCTCTGTACGCACTGCCCCCAAATGAATAACACTTCACTGAGATTCTACGGTGGACCTAACTAAGGGCAGGAGCAGGTCCACTTGATCCTGCCAGTCCACGAGGTACCCATGGGGATGTCCCCGTGACTACAGTGTTGCTACCTTAATATCCCACCCCGCTTCTCCCTCCCAGCACTTTTCCACAAGAGACATCCTACTTGAGGACCAAAAGGGCCATTCTTATCCCTGTCCTGTTGGGACTGGCCATCACCAGTGGGCTGGCAGGCACAGGGACGGGTGTGTTAGCCCTAGCCCCAAAAGAGCGAATATTAAAAGAAATCAAGCAATTATCAGCCACCCTAAACAACCACAGATAAACACCACCACACACGCTGGGTCTGATGCTGCAACAGCGACTAACACAGATGACGGACAGTCAGTCGGAGTCAGAGTCCTACTGGCTAAACAGGGTGGAGACTGTCCTGTACAGGGCACCTCTTGCTGCATGTACATCAGCAGCTCAAGACAGTACAGGTCAACCCCTACTGTCCCCCACTCCCTGAGGTCGCTGATTTGTTCTCATGGCTTTAGCCATCCACCTGGGGGCAACGGCTGAGACAGGGAGTCTGCTCATCACAGGTTCCATCCTTACTGCCTTGGTTCAATGCGCTTTATGATAGAAAACCATCTGTGTCCATTAACATCTGCCACTCAAGCAACTGCCGTTCCTGAAGTCAAGGCATCACAGGACGGACTGCTGAGCGTTTAGCTAAGCTGCTCCATGGTACTGCTGCCTCAGCATCCATTCTGTTTGGCCAAGCTGCCTGCGGGGGGTCCTTGAACTGCCACTCGTCCCTTCCAGGAGTGTGTGCCCCCGACAGCAGCCCCCAGATTCACAAGCAAATGCAAGTCCCTGATATGAACCCCTCAAAGGCCCCCGTGATCAACAGTCGCCCACACTTCTCCCTGTGTGCCCCTCGGAGAAGTTGTTCTTGTGACAAAGACTGTCCGAGTAGATCAGGAAAACAAGGCCCAATTAGATGCTGTCTATAAGAAACCCTCTTTAAATACAAAGATGCAAATAAATTAGAAGTAAAGAGAGAGACAAAGATACGCCACGCTAACACTAATCAAAAGGAAGCTGCAGTAGTCACATTGATTTCACTGAGCAGACTTCAGAAGGATAATCCTCAGGGGTAGAGAGGGGCATTACATAATGACAAAGGGATCATTTCTCCAAGAAGACAGGACAATTCTTAATGTGTATGCACCTAACGAGAGTCAAAATACAAGAGACGGGGCAGGCCCCGTGGCCGAGTGGCTAATGTTCCATGCACTCTGCTTTGGCGGCCCAGGGTTCACTGGTTTGGATCCCACGTGCAGACCTGCTCCACTCACCAGCCATGCTGTGGAGGCACCCCACATGCAAAGTGGAGGAAGACCGGCACAGATGTTAGCTCAGGGCTAATGCTCCTCAAGCAAAAGAAGAGGATTGGCAACAAATGTTAGCTGAGGGCGGATCTTCCTCACACACAAAAAAAATACAAGACAAGAACTGACAGAAACACAAGGAGAAATAGAGGAACCCACTATTAAAATTGGAGACTTCAACACATCCATATCAGAAACGGACAGGCCCGGGAGGCAAAAAGTGAGTACGAACATAGCGGAACTCCACAGCACCACACAGCAGCTGGATACAATCAACATCTACGGACTGCTTCATCCAACGACAGCAGAACACACATCCTTCTCAAGCGCGCACGGGACATCCACCAACATGGACCTCATTCTGGGCCATAAAACACACCTTAACAACATAAAATGGAACAGAAGTCATACAACGTACACTCTTAGGCCACCATGGAATTAAATTGGAAATGAGTAACACAAAGATGACTGGAGGAGTGACACCAGCATCATGGCGGAGTGAGTCGTTCCCTTTGTCTCTCCCCTCTAAGTTTAAACCAGCTCCCTGCACAGCACACCAGCACGGCTGAGATCCATGCATCTACACATCTGAATGTGGCTGGACTGCACCTCCAGGGGGCAGCGGAACTAGGGAGCAGGCCTTTCCCCCTCCCCTGGTGACGGCAATCCGAAATGCAGACCCTGACACTGGCACAGTCGCCATCCACCACAGGCTGCAAGGGCAAACAGCACCCGTGGCTTGGCCCCTGACCACCCCACCTTGCAGTGGTGGCAGGTGGTGCACATGTCCTGAGGCTTCAGGACACAGAGCGAGGCCAGCAACCCGGCCCCTTCCTTCTCCCCTGACAGTGGCACCAGGCTTTCCAGCAGTAGGGACAGGAGCGAGACATAGATTTCACCGGCAGGAGCAGGCTGCCCTGACCTGAGGTCCCAAAGAGCACACTGGCATGTGCCCGTGACCAGACTGCAGGGCCACCAACACCTGTGGCTTAGCCACTGCCCCTCCTCCAGCAGTGGCAGGTGGCACCTGTGACCTGAGGCTTCAGGAACCACAGCAGAACCTAAGACCCAGCCCCCAGCGGTGGCACGCCTGACACCAGCTCTATCAGCAGTGAGGACTGCATATAAGAACCCAGGCCCCTTGGGGCCGGCCCTGTGGCCGAGTGGTTAAGTTCGTGTGCTCTGCTGCAGGTGGCCCAGTGTTTCACTGGTTCGAATCCTGGGCGCAGACATGGCACTGCTCATCAAGCCACGCTGAGGCAGCGTCCCACATGCCACAACTAGAAGGACCCACAACGAAGAATATACAACTATGTACCGTGGGGCTTTGGGGAGAAAAAGGAAAAAATAAAATCTTAAAAAAAAAAAAAAAGAACCCAGGCCCCTGACAGCAACGGTGACACCCAGGAACCCAGCACCCCAGACAACCCAGGAGCAGCACAGGTGGTGCACGGGGCAGGAGCACACGAGCCCGGGGAGAGCCAGAGGGGGACCATGAGACTCAGGCAACTCAAGACCCACGACACAGACGGCGCTGAGGAAGTGTGCAAAACACTCTAGCCGCACATGGCTCCTGCTTAGAGCTCTCCACGAAGACAACTCTCGTGCCAGCCACGGAGCTGAGGACGCTGGCTGTGGACTCTTTATTTGCCAGCCATCGAGAGGGCATTATGCACTGGGGTACACCACCCTGGCAGGGCCACACTAAAAACTCAACAACGAGACAACCCTGAAAACAGTCAACAAAGGTGCGGACTATTTGAACAGAGCCCCATTCCCCCACCACGTTTCCTGCCTCTCTCCACTGTCCTGGGGAAAACAGATTCCAACACCCCCCCCCCATCAACTAACTCATGTCGCTAGGGCACTTGACTTTTAAAATTCACACTCAGACAAATCCACACTAAATTAAAAGAGATGAGGCATATGTGAGCCACTGATCAATTATATACAAGAGGCTGGCTTCACTTGTGATTTGATCTGTGGTCTGACAGGTAACAGCTTTGACACCCCCACCCCTCTTCCCTGCCTGGTCAACTTCCGGCAAACCAATAAAGAGGCCTAGGAGTGCCACACGTCCTGTGATCCTCGGGGGTGGGAGGGTGAAACCTCACGAACGCCCAGTCCCAGCCCTGGCCACTGCAGAGGCCCCATCCACTGTCTCTGGTCATTTGCAAGAGCTGACACCTGCCACGATCTCCCCAGATTGCCAACTATTTTCTGATCCTCTTGGTGTGTGTGGCATGAGTCTTGACACTGAAGGGGTTCAGAACTGGCCTCTCTAAGATATGCCACATTGGTATGTGAATTACTTTGAGCTGAAGGCACCGGAGACCCTGTGGGAGCAAGAGAAATTTTAACCTCTCCCTTAAAGAATTTAAGTTGGGGGCCTTGCCCATAGGAAGAGTCACCACCACAAATAACATTTTATGACCTATATGTACGGCAGAGCAAACCTCTAATTACTGAGTGTCTGTTCTTCTCCTCGTCCTATGAGTCACCCTTCTCTGGTCAGAAGCCCCAGGCCCCTATCCCATTCCTTAGCTCAGAAGGGCATATATACCTCCTTTGTGTCTCTGAACCTCTCATGTGCATGGGGTCTTTGAATCTCTTATGCATGTCAGGTTCCTGTACGTACGAAATCAAATCAGGTTTTTCTCCTGTTAATCTGTTTCATGTTGACCTGTTTCTTAGACCGGCCAGAAAAACCTCCAACAGCAGAGCAAAGTTTCTTGGCCCCCCCAAAACATCCAAACCTATTTTGGGTCAGAGGGGTGCGGGGGGAAGGTTTGATTTCATCCCCAAAGGGCAACCACAAAACAGAAGGACACACGTGGAACATGTTTTTGGTGTGAGGAACAGGGCCCAGGATGGGAAATCTGGAGAAGATGAGTGGAAGAGAGATCCAATAACGGTTTTAGAAGCACTTAGAAAACTCTGAAGCCATCACATGGCCACTAGCAGGAGAATCAAGAAAGGAAAATGGTCCAGTCCTATCAGGGTACAGACACGACAGAGCAACAACAGTGAATGCAACTACCACTCCATGGGAAACTAACATATCTGCATGGAGGAAAACTGACATCCAATTGCACACAGTGCGATGCCCTTTGCACTCAAAACAAAACATGCAAAATTAAATGCACTTCTAATTCGCCCGCAGAGAGGAGGCCTGTCTTTGGAGTCATTTCAAGCGGGGCGTCTGTCGCGAAGGCTCCTCCCAGGCCTTGGCCTGGCCGTCCTTACACGGAGGGTCACTTGGGACGTCTGGCAGGGCTGCGTGCATCTTCCTGCCTTTCACCCCATCACTAATGTGGAACAGAGGGCATTCCCACATTGAGCCCCGGAACAACACGAGTCAGCATCTGGGGGCAACGAGCAAACCTGAAAAACTATTCTAACTAGAAGAAAAACGGAATAAGGGTCCGTTACTTTCCGTTTCCTGAAACCTGAGGCCCCAGGGAAGCAGGACCATCAGCGCTGCGCTGGGACCCGCTCTCAGGTCAGGGCGGGCCCACCCCGCGGCCGCCCCGCCGCCCCAGCCCTGACCGCCGGCCGGGGTCGTCCCGTGCCCCTCGGACCCCGCCCAGCCAAGGACTCGGGTGGGACCGGGACCCCCAGGCGCGGTCGGGACACGACGCCGGGACCCACCCCGCGGCCGAGGGCGGGGACTCGCGGGGACCGCGGGGGGCGCGGGGGGCGCGGGGAGACCCAGGCCCGCGGCCGCTTCCAGCCGGTTCCCGCCGGTTCGAACCAGTCGCTCCGGGTCTCGGCCCGGCCCGCGCACTCACCATCTCCGCCCGCTTCGACTCTCCGCGGCCCCGGCAGGTGACAGCGAGGGGATGGGACACCTGGGGCCGCGCGGGGCAGGTAAGCAAGGGGACGAGGCCGGACGAGAGCGACGTCCAAGCGGGTGCAAGCGCGCCCGCCCCCGGGCCTGATTGGCCGGTGCTGCAGCCCTCAACATCTTGATTGGATGGAATTCCAGCCACTCCCCCTGCCAGAGACTCCGATTGGACAGTGCTCTGACTCACCCCCGGGGCCTGATTAATAAATTGTCCGTTGATTGAACAGATCCCGGGCGGCCCCAGCGCGGCCTATTTTTCTCCGGGTCCCGCCCCCGTCGCCTCTGATTGGACAGTTACCCAAGGCCCGCCCCTGTCCCTTGATTGAGCGGTTGCTGGGTCGCCCCTGCTCGCCCCGTTGCTGTCCGGTCCCGCCCCCTGTTCTCCCTGATTGGACACTGTTACAACTCGGGGGCGTGCCTGACAGGCGCTGGCGGTGGTCACGTGGCAGGGCCGGGCGGAAGCGCGGGTTCTCGGCCTCAGCGATTCCCTGCGCGGTTGTCTGCCCGGCTCCTCACAGCGCTCGGACTCGCCCGCTCGCGTCGTGGGCTCTGAGCAGAAGCCGCTGCCGGCTGGGTGGACCCAGTCTCGGCCCGCAGCTCGGCAGCCCCATCTGCTTCCTCCTCCTGGACTGGGAAGTCCTGACTCAGTTTCCCTGGAGCGCCCCTTGTCCGGAGCCTGGACAGGATGGGATGGGGGACTGGTAACCGTCAGGGTCGGGGGTCGACCTGGGGGCAGAGTCACCGTAGATCGGTGCCCTTTAAGAACAGACCCTTAACAGTGACGTTGCCGCATGCGAGGCAGGGTCTGGCTGGGTTTTGACATGTGACCTTTGACTCCGAGGGGCCCGGCTTCTGTCCCCTCCCCCAGTTTAGAGTTCAGAACACCGCGGTCCCGGGTCCTCTGCCCCCGTGGGAAGGGGGTCCCCGCGGCCCCAGCCTGCGCAGGACTCATCTCAGCACAGCCACAGTAGGAGATGTTAGAATTGTCATATGTGCGTTTATTTCAAGGAAATTTACGTCGCCATCAGCTGAGATGTAGGTGGTGTTAACCTGAGAATAAAGAGCCAAAAGGAGGGGCAGAAAGGCATTTATTTGGGCATCACAGAATTGCAATTCCAGGAGCACAGATTCAGGTCGAAACCCAAAGACTGTCCCAGTTACATGAGAAGGGCACAGGATTTACAGAAAAAAGGGAGGAAGATGAGGCGAGTTGTAGAGTTCATTGGCGCTAGACGAGTTAGGCCAGGTTTGTCCTTCATTGATTGGTTATCCATTTGGTCAACAGCAAAGTCCAGTTTCATCAGTCCTTACAAACAGGACATTCTTGTCCTTCCTGACTTCTTAGAATGTCGGTGGTTTGGTCCAGTTTGGAAGATAAAGAAAACAAGATGGGGCCAGCCCCGTGGCCAGGTGGTTAGGTTCGTGGACTCTGATTCAGCCGCCCAGGGTTTCTGTTGGTTCGGATCCTGGGCCAGGACCTAGCACGGCTCATCAGGCTGTGCTGAGGCGTCCCACATAGCAGAGCCAGAAGGACCTACAACTGGAATATACAACTGTGTCCTGGGGGGCTTTGGGAAAAAGAAGGGGAAAAAAAAGAGAATTGGCAACAGATGTTAGCTCAGATGCCAATCTTTAAAAAAAAGCAAAGAAAACAAGCTGGGCAAGGCAGTTCCCCTGAAATGGCTGCTCTGGCTCTATTTTAATGTGGCGCCACTCATGTTGTCTTTGACACTTGTGACACACAGAGAAGGGTTTTGGGGGGGCAAGGTTCAACTTGGAGCATGTTGAGATAGAGATGAGAGTAGGAAAAACTAAAGCAGAAAAAAAACCATGTAAGAATGTTATTAGATTTAAAAAGTTTTTAAATAGAATGTTATTAGAATCATCGGTCCCAACAGCCAAAATGTGGAACCGCCACATTGGGGCTAGCTGTTGAATCAGTACAACACAAAAATGGTGTGGTCACAGGGGTAACGATAGGTGAATAAAGTGAATGAAGTGCAAAGCTATGGAAGATTCGAAACATTTCTGAACAAAAGATATTTGATATAAAATGGTACATATAGTTTGATTCTGTTTACATGCCATATAAAACAGGCGACATTATCGCATACATAGGTGATGAAACTATAAAGAAAGAAAAGGAAATTATCTTTTAAAAGATTGGGATATTGTTGGCAGCGAGAGGACGGGGTGGGGCCTCTGATGGGCCCTCAACCCGAGTGGGCTGTGTCTGTGACGGCAGCCTTGTCCAGGTTGGGAGGTCCTGGATGTTTACTCTGTAATGTTTCTGTCAAATGTACGTTTTATGCATCTTTCTGCAGATATATTTTACAGTAAAATGTTAGGATATCGACTAATATAACTCACCAAATGCCATGTTGAAAAAAATCATCTCAAAGTATCACAATAGATGGAGGAAAAGCATTTTATACACGTCAACATTCACCCATGCAAATATTTGGTAATTTAGGAATAGATGAGAACTTTCACCCCCTTTTGAAGGGCATCTTCAAAAACATGTTTATGAAAGAACGCATGTGCAAGTGGTCAAAATTCACTCGTTCAATAATATTATGTACAAAACAAGAATGCCCCGGCCCCAGCCCCCTTCAGCATAGACTATTCATCCAGCCAGTGCCACGAGGAACAGGGGTACACATTAGAAAGGAGGAAAAAGTCACTTGTGCCATAGCTGGAACCACTGTGTGTTTACAACCTCCAAAGCATCTAAGGGGAAGCAGAGAAAAAAGATGATCGACAGCTTGTCAGGATGTGAACCCAAGAGAAACATAAACATCATTCCATTTCTAATCACTGTTGAAAAGAAGTTGACCGATTTGAAAGACAACGTGTACGAAAGCACAAAGAAATTATTAAGTACCAAATAAGCCTAATGAAGGCTATAGGGAGAAGCGAGCGTAAAAATTGTAAAATTAGACTGAATGACATCAAAGGAGGCTCAAAGAAAGGCAAACGTGGGGCAGGAGAAAGGAGAGAGCGGTGTCAACACGGTGTCCATATTTAATAGATGTATCGTTTTCACAAAATTCCATTAATACTACCACCAGTCCTTCTTGGAAACCTCACAACCTTGCTTCTAAGTTTTATAAATAAGAACAAATGTTCAGTGACAGCCGTGCTGTTCTGAAGAACGAGGTGGAGGAGCCCTAAAAGGACCAAGCATTAAAACCTGTTATGCCGGGGGCATCATCATGAAAGCACAGAAGTATAGTGGGAGCACGTTCACGGAGGCAAGGACCATTATCACTGAAAACGGAAACTCTGCTACTTTCAACTTCATGGCCTTTCATGTTAACACATTGTCCAGGGACACGTGATTTATCAGAAGCTTCTTCCCAGGTCCAGGACTTGAAAGTGGCTCTGCTGAGAAGCCCCCCGCCCCCCAGCAGACTGTCCTGGGGACCCAGTGAGGGAAGGAAACACACGGATAAACCTTCACGAACTTGGATTTCTTAATGATTTCTTAAACATCACACCAAAAGCAAAAGCAACACAAGGAAAAAATAGATCAATGGACTTCTTCAAAATTAAAATCTTTTGTGCATCGAAGGACACTACACAGAGAGTAAAAGGACACCCCACAGAAAGGAAGAACATATCTGTAAGTCACATATGTGACAAGGTTTTCTTATGCAGAATACACAAAGAACCCTCCCATCTCCACAACAAAAAGGCAAATGACCCAATGAATATATGAGCAAAGGACTTAGACATTTCGCCAAAGATGATCGACAAATGGCCAATAAACACATGAAATAAACACATCACCAGTCATCAGGCAAATGCAAGTCAAAAGCACCAGGAGAGACCAACCACTTCACACCCACGAGGAAGGCTAGAATGAAGAAATCAGAAAACAAGTGTCAAGGCGTTTGTGGGGAACTGGAACCCTTGTACGCTGCCGGCGGGAATGTAAAAGGGTGCGGCCACTGTGGAAAACAGCCTGGCAGGACCTCAAAAAGTGACACACAGAATCACCACGTGACCCAACTATTCCATGGCCACCCACATTGAATCAGATCGTCACGTATGTGTACACACAGTTGAGACACTGTTCAAAATAGCCAAAAGGTGGAAAAGTCGCCAAAGGCCATCAAGGGCTGAATGGAAGAACGAAGTGTAGCACATACAAAGGATGGAATATTATTCAGCCATAAAAAGGAGTGAAGCACTGCCACATGGATGAACCTTGAAAACATTATGCTGTGTGAAAGAAGCCAGACACAACAGGCCACGGAGAGTATGATTCCATTGATGTGAAATAGCCAGAACAGGCAAATCCATAGAGACAGAACGCATTCTGGTGGTGGCGAGAAGGTAGGGTTATCATGGCTATTATGGCCGTTAAATTTGTTTTTAAAATGGAGATATAATTCACGTGCCGTTGATGTTCCCCCTTTAAGTGTAACACGCAGGGGTTTTTTGTACACTCACAAAGCTGTCACCATCAGCATATAATCTGAATCCGGAAATATAGCCTTTCACATTTTCAAAGTTCTCTGAGACTAAAAATCTGATGTGACACAAATTTCCTTGAGTAAAACGCACATCTGCGAATCCTAACATCTCACACTGTGGCTCTGCTGAGATCAGTCCTATCTGCAGGCTGGGGCCGCGGACTCCCATTCCCACACGTGCAAAGGTCCTGGAGCCAGGGTTGCTGACCCTAAGGCCCTGAGGTGGGGAGGGCGCGCGGGGCTTCCTGCCCCAAAGGTCACGTGTGAAAACAGAGCGGGACCCCGCCTTGCACGCGGTGACGTGACTCGATGTCTTTGTTAGTAAACAGAGGCCACAGATCCACCGCGGGCCCGCAGGGAAATGAGTCTGATCTTCCCGGTCCGGGAAGAGGATGCAGCAGGGGCCGCCGCGGCGCAGGCTGACCCCGGATCTACCCTCCCGGGCTGGTTCTGCGGGGAGCTCGTCCCAGGCCGGCGGGTCAGCCACGCGGCGGGGTCTCGGAGAAGTTCAATGTCGGGCATTAGCAGCGGCCAGGCCGGGGCACTGTCCAATCAGGGTCACCAGGAGTGGGAGTGCCGGGAGCACCGTCCAATCAGAGCGCGGGTTCCCGGAGTCTCGTCCAATCAGATCCGGGGGCGGGCGCGCTCGCTTCCGCGTGTGGACGTCGCTCTGGTCCCGTTGAGTCCCCGCGCGCACCTGCCTCGCGTGGCCCCAGGTGTCCCGTCCCGTCGCTGTCACCTGCCGGGGCCGCGGGGAGGACGCGCGGAGAGTCCGGAGCGGGCGGAGATGGTGAGTGCGCGGGCCGGGCCGGGACCGGGAGAGGCTGGTTCGAACCGGCGGGAACCGGCTGGAAGCTGCCGCGGCCCCGGGTCTCCCCGCGCCCCCCGGGGTCCCCCCGACTCCCCGCCCTCGGCCGCGGGCTGGTCCCGGCGTCGTGTCCCGAGCGCGCCTGGGGGTCCCTCTCCCACCCGAGTCCTTGGACGGGCGGGGTCCGAGGGGGCGGGACGACCCCGGCCGGCGGTCAGGGCTGGGGCGGCGGGGCGGCGGGGCGGCCGCGGGGTGGGCCCGCCCTGACCTGACGCTGAGCCCCGTCCGGACTGGGGGCCGGAGACTCTGATCCGAAGACGGTGGGACGGGGCCGAGGGCGGGTCTCAGGCCCTCCAGCCCCGAACCCCCCAGAAAAGGGCTTTTCTCTGCCGGGAAAGTGTAACCGAACTCACTGGGTTGGTCTCTTGGGTGAGTGGGAGCTGAAAAGCACAACCAGGGCTGAAGTGGGGGAAGAGGAGATTTATTGCTTGCACGAGCAGTGGAGCGCCCTGGGGATAGCTCCCAGAGCTGTGTCTCCCGCAGCTCTGTGCAGGTGTGGACTTTATGCACAAGAGTGCGGGGATAACAGGTTTGTTACAACTGTGTGACAACTGTCCTTCATCAGGGCGCCTGTGTAGCAGGTGAGCAGGCCGTTATATAACCCATTCGGAACATGCCGTTACCTGACGCCGTTGCGTAAGGCGTCCGGGGGAACTTCCGGTTGCTGGGAGCTGGAGCCGTTTGCAGGGGTCTTGCCGCGAGCATGCAAGTTTCTTCTGCAAGATGGCAACATCTGCAAAACAGAAACATCAGCTTCTGAAAAACAGAACGTTTAGTTTTTCCTTGTCTGGAAAACACTTGACAGCCCTGTCAGTCAGTGATCATTCTCAGTAACTCTTTCCTTGCCTGGTTCCCAGACACAAACTCCCCCTGAGATATTTTACTCCTCGTTCTGGAGAGAGAAGGGTTGGCGTTCTGTCTTCTGTAAGTGCTTCCTGCTGATCCGGGTCGTTGTAGGCGAGTTAGAGTAAAACTGTCATTCTGCCAGGCTAAGATCGGTTTCAGGGCTACCTGAGGAGTTGTTTTTTTTTTTCCCTTGAGGAAGATTAGCCCTGAGCTAACTACTGCCAATCCTCCTCTTTTTTGCTAAGGAAGCCTGGCCCTGAGCTAACATCCGTGCCCATCTTCCTCTACTTTATATGTGGGACGCCTACCACAGCATGGCTTGCCAAGTGGTGCCATGTCCGCACCTGGGATCCGAACTGGTGAACCCCGGGCCGCCCAGAAGCAGAACAAAAGGAAATGTGCGAACTTAACCGCTGCTCCACCAGGCTGGCCCCTACCTGAGGAGTTTTGCAACAGTTGGTACCGTCGTGGCAGAGCCGTCATTTGTAACTTGAATTGTTCCAACGGAGAGCTAACAAACCTCACTAGCATATTAAAGATGCCTGGGCAAAAATTAATAATAACAGAAATACAAGGGGGCCTGTCAAAGGCAAGAGCCGGGTTACAGACGGAATGGCCCCATTTCCAGTGTCCCATACCTCGGTAGCTGTATTATTGGCTTTCTGGTTAAAGGTGTGTAGCTTGGTCAAATATTTTCTTAATATTCACCTCTAGTCATTGCACATACGCTTCCTTGCACGGCCAGGAGGAGCTCGAAGGCCCTTCCGTTATCTGGCACCACGCTGGCTAGTGAGTGTGTGACTGGGAACCAGGCAAGGAAGGGTTACTGAGAACCTGATCGATAACTAACATGGGCTGTCAGATGTTTTCCAGATGAGGAGAAAAGGAAATGTGCGGTTTCTCAGAGGTGGGTGTCCCGTTTTCGCAGATGGTGCATCGCTGACCCCGTTATGTAAGGGCTCCTTGCCCCCATTATGTAACGGGCATGTTGCATTGAACTCCTTCTGTAACCATACCGTGAACTGGGCCTGTGATGGCCTGCACACGCGCCCTGATGGGGCCCAGTTGTCACACAGCTGTAACACATCTTCTGCACCCTTGGGTATAAAGTCTCCACCAGCACGAGGCTGGGGCAGGGGGCGCCGCTTTGGGAGCTGTCCTGGGTGTTCTCCATTGTTTGTGCAAACAAGCAACCTCTTTCTTCAGCTTTGGTTGTGCTTTTCAGCTCCGCCATCAAGAGAGACGAGCCCAGTGAGTGTGGGTACAGTTAGAAGGATACCCGGATGTTGTAGAGTGCTTGTCCTGTATCTGATATTTCAAGAGATTTAGTTAGGTTCCTTAGGGTCACCTCCCCAGGGTGCGGCCAGACCTGCTGTGAGCCCGGTTCCTGCCGGGATCAATCCCACAGCCTCTGCTCCCGGGGATGGAGTTGGGCGTGGCTGTATGTTGTCAGACCTGTGGCTCCCATCCTTCTCATTGGACATCGTCCCACATATTCCACGTTATCCACGCACAGATGGGCTGTTGCAGGGGGTGGGGAAAGGAAGACACAGAGTGGGAATGATGGTCAGGGAGCCTGTGGGGTGGGGAGCCGCAGAGAGGGACGCGCCCTGGGGGTGCACAGGCCTGTGGGTGTAGTGCTGTCACACCAGTTGAGTAACGCAATGCCCCAGCAGGGGGCGCTGTCTCTGCAGCGGGGAGATGACGGTCCCCGTGAGTGAAGCTGTCTTTTCTGGGGCCTGTGGGTCCCCTGCCAGCTCCTGGGGAGACAGATGAGAAGCCCCCAGCATCCAGGCGGCTTTTGCTTTTGTCTTCTTGTCCCGAACTTGCATTGGGGTAGAAGGTTGTCCTTTGGTCTTAGGGCACCAGCGAGTTTCATTGGGGCGGCAGGAATGGGTGACACTGAGAGTGATGGGGCCGATGGCAAATGGGTTTCCGTTGCCCGTGGCTGGGGAACATTGGAGACGGTTTCACGGATGGAAGTGGTTTCACGGATGGAAGTGCCGTTCACACACATTATCCCCTCACGGCTGGTGCGATTTGTTACTGGGGTGAGAGTTAAACATTTTAGGTTTATACTTGAGAAGCCCAACTCTACTGCAGTTGACAGGGGTCTGCTAAAAGCCTTGGGGACCCTTTCAAGAGGCTCATGTTGGGTTCTGATTGTATGGGGTATGTGACAGGCCACCCACTTTTGTTTGGGGATGCCTATGGCATGTCCACATTGGGATAATTCATTACCTTTCGCTGTGATTCTAGAAAGGTTTACAATTGTTAGTTTCCCAAGGAATTAAGGGGGTCTGTGTTGATGCCCGTTGTGAGGGAAGGTAGACAAGGATATAAGCTGCAATACACCCCCAGACTCAGGCATGTCTTATCTCTGGATCCTTGGCACCCTTCCCGAGCAGGAACTTCCAGTCTGATCCTGGCTCATAGGAATAGGAGTCGGTGGGAATGGTGACCGTTTCTGGCTCTTGAGCTCTTTTAACCCAAGTGTGGTGGATCCAAAGGGTCACATCTTGAGAGAAGACTGAGTGGTTAGTAAGGCCACATAAGGTCCTGTCCCAGTGGGCTCAAGCTGGTCCTGGGGGGCCCGGGCGTCCAGGTTTTGAAGTCCACACATTCTGCCTGCTCGTGGGGATGCGGCTTAACCCAGATGAGGAGGAGAAGGCGGATTCAGATGGAAGTGTTTGTGAAGGTGAGACATCGCTCTCCCCAGGTTAATTATGTGCTTTACAGCTCATTCGACCTCCTTATCGGGGGGCATTATTAACCCTGTATCGCCCAGAGGGGCCCTTCATACAACATCGCAAAAGGGCTCCGCTTAAGCTTTCCTTTGGGAGAAGCCTTGATGCAGGGTGGCGCGATGGGCGAGAGCTTCAGCCGGTTGTCCTGTGCCTCCTGGCCGAGTTTGGCCAAAGTGACCTTCAGGGTGCGGTTGGTTCTTTCCGTTTCCCCCGAAGACTGAGGTCTCCAGGCCACACACAGTTTGCATTGTACTCCCAGTATTGGAGAAAGTCTGGCGACTGTTCTTGACACAAAGGCCAGGCCGTTGTCACTTTGGACTGACCTAGGCGGTCCAGACCTTGGGATTCGTGTTTTTATCAGTCGATAAAGGGAAAGGCCTTTGTCACTTCCCCTGCCTTTTCTGTCTACAAGGAAAGGCTTCACCCCATCCTGTAAGGGTGTCCACAAAAACCACAAGATGCCTAAACCCTCCTGGTGCGGTTGGCAGAACCGCGAAGCCTGCCTGCCAGTCCTCCCCCGGCAGGCTCCCCTGGACGGCACGGTTCTCCCCAGAGGCAGTATCAGTGGCCCGGTGTGCACATTATTTTGTTGGCTGTGGACACACTGCTCTGTTAGCTTGTCTGTTGTCGCCTTTAAACCCGGGGTCCTCACCATGCCCAGGAGCCAGTTGCGCAGGGTCTCCTTTCCCTCGTGCAGACTTCATTCTCGCCCAGGCTGTGTTTCTAGGCCACCAGACCTTTCCTTTGCTGTCTATCGTCCCTCCCCCAAGGCAGGAGAGTCTGGAAGCCCGCCCTCTTAGCTGTCTCTGTTTCTTCTGGGGTGTATTTGGGGGTAAATTTATAGAGGGGTAAAGAGGGAACAACCCCAACTGGAAATCTTCCTCTGTTAAGGCTGCTCATTTGGCAGCTGCGTCAGCCAAGTCATTTCTTTTCGTTTTTTCTGAGTCTCCCTCCTGACATCCTTTGCAGTATACAAGGGCCTGGGAGCGGCCCTTCCATATTTAATTTCTTTACTGTCTACTGAGCTTAGGCCCATGAGCATGAATAACAGAGAAGGCATATTTGGAGGCAGCATAGATGGTCACAGTTTTCCCTTTTGCTAATTCTGATGCCCTCGTCAGGGCAGTGAGTTCTGCCTTTTGTGCTGGTGTTCCCGGGGAGAGCGCCTTTGCATCCACGGTGGCATGGTGGCATGGTCGCGTGGAGGGGAGACCACGGCACAGCCCTCCCGGCGCTGACCATTCCGTCCACGAGCCGCACCTCCCCGTGCTGGCCGGCTCTCCTGCTCGGTGCTCCTGACCCAGCAGCTCAGAACAGTCTCGCACCAGA